ATGGACACTAACCTGCCCCTTAGACACGAACACCAGCTGAAATCCTTCAGCAAAAATGTGTCCACTAGAGTTATTATAGATGAGGGGGACGAGCTGCAGCTCATTTCGCTCCTTTTTCAAATTCTCCCGGGGAGATCAAATGAATTCTCTACCCTCACGCTATGATGGAATTTTGTGATCTTTTTTTTCGTTGTGATAATTAGTATTCATATAAGAAAGTCAGGCGAAGCACATCCTGACGCACACGGTCGCCTCGCTGTTTTTGATTACCTGGTGAGCTGACCAACAGATAAGCTTCACAAAAAAATTGATTCGACAATATGGCGATCGGACAAGTGAATTATACTTGACATCTTCGCATATTTGACGTCTCCCAATTCTGGAGACACCTTGAAGTTTGATTTCTTTGACCATATTCCAAATCTGTTGCTATAGCACATCAACGAAGAAGAAATACATTGCAATATTGGTGGTGACCACGATCTGCGCACACCTTTCTCAGTATTTTACAGTGGGAATGCTTGAGAAAGGTACTTTCTATAGATAAGGTTTGTTATTTACGAATGTGTGGAGCTGAATTCTGTCAAAAACTGATGTGGGTAAGCACCATTTCCGGATTCTGGGATGGAGAATCGAAAATTTTCAAGGTTATTCCGGATTTCCTCCTTGGCTGGACGAAAAAGTTTTTGGGCGCAATTGCAATATACAGGGGCATAGTGGTGGCAACGCATTTAAAACACGTGACAGATCTCCTTTTCGCTAAAATCGAGACTATGCCTTACGCGGGGTAGTAGAGACTGCAGGATTCGTGACCAAGTTTCATTTTCCCAAAGTTCCGGCCCACTTCTTGGCTTAGTCCCGTGTCTTCCGATAGTTGTTCGGTTAAAGCAGTCAACGACTGTTTGACACACAAATTTTCAACCTACCCGCACTGAGTTGTATTTGCCCCCTTTTTGGTTTGCGCGCTTGTGCGCGTATGGTGCGCTCCAGCAATGCCCACATGAGCGCTCTGATTAATGGAGTTACCCTGAGTAGTCTTCCTGGAGACGAACTCATGCTTTCAAGTTAATGATGAAATATAATAGCGGCTATTTTTTTACGTTGCCTTATGTAACGTATTAATAGACAAAAACAATAAGTACAACACTCATGTTAGGGCATTTTGTCACGGAATGGCCAGTAGGAAACTGCTCTTCAGATGATTTTCCTTTGGTTTTGCTGTTATT